TGTACCGGATTATAACAAATTCTATTTCCTTTTTTTCGTTTAAAATTTTTTTTAGGCCATGTTTTTTATCGAAAAAAACCGAGTATACCGTTGTTCACGATTCTCCGTCCTCTTTCCAAAGAGATCCATGATGATATATAAAAAACGAATTTTTTTTTTCGAAAAAAACTCACTTCATTTTCTTTGTTGAAAAGTTAAGGTCTGTTTTTTTATAGAAAAAAATTAATAAATATATCAAAATTCATGTTTTTCTGTACTTTCTAAACATAGATTCAAATTCATGTAAAAAAAACGATATTTCTGTTCAGATTCACATTGTGAACCTGTTCATATTGATATTGTGAACCTGTTCAGATTTCCATTGTGAACCTTCTCAGATTCACAGTGTGCATAATAGTAAGTGAGATTCACAGTGTGAATCTGAACTGATCGAGCTTTTTCACATAGTGAATGTTAAAAATTTAAATATATTTACAGTTTAGATTCACAGTGTTAATCTACACTGATTGAGGTTTTTTTTTTTGAACCTTCTCAGATTCACAGTGTGCATAGTAGTAAGTTAGATTCACAATGTGAATCTGAATTCATCGAGCTTTTTCACATTGTGAATGTTGAAAATTGAAATAATTACAGTTTAGATTCACAGTGTGAATCTACACTGTTCGATGTTTTTTTTTTAGTCGGTGTTGATGTTTATTAAGAGAGTACAAAAAGTTAATATTTTTGGTATAATTAGTTTTTTTTTATAAAAATAAACTTAAATATTGATAAAACTAACAAAATGAAGTGGTTTTTTTCGAAAAAAAATCGTTTTTTATATATCAACATGGATCTCTATGGAAAGAGGACGAAAAATCGAGAACAACGGTATACTCAGTTTTTTTTTTTTTTTTTTTTTGATAAAAAATGTGGCCTAAAAAAAATTTAAAACGAAAAAAAGAGGTGAGTTTTTTGGTAAGGATATGATTTTTTTGGTATAATCCGGTGTGTGTGCGTCCAATATAAAAGTGTACATCTATTTACTTGGCCGTTGATCATTATGATTTCTGACGTTCACGATTGGTTCCTTGGTTGCTTGTTAATTATGGTTATCTATTGAACCTCACCCTATATATATATATATATATATATATATATATATATATATATATATATATATATATATATATATATATATATATATATATATACACTATTAGACACACATTTTAATTATTTGCAACACCCATAATTTTTAACAATCATATTTTCACTATTGTTTATAAAAATATCATGACATGTAATCATTAAAATCTGGTTTTACAAAAACCTTCGTAAAGTTTATCAAAGTTTACAACAATTTGGTGTTACCTCAATGTAATCCAAATATTTTAGAAAGTCTTCCATAACCGTTAATGTTCTTTTTCAACTTTCAAGATTTCATTATCGTGAGAACCAATTTAATTTTAAGACTTCAACAAGTCGTAAAGGTCAAAATCGAGCAATCTATTTCCCAAGATAAGCTTTGTAGATAAACTACATATACAAAAATATATAACTGTGTTTCCCTAAGGAAACCTCTAACGATGCTTCCCAAATGAAACCTTTAATGGTGTTTCCTAAAGAAACCTTTAATGATGTTTACCGAAGGAAGCCTTTAACGATGTTTCCTGAAGGAAATTGTAACAATATTCAACTCATGATAACCTTTAACGATGTTTCCCGAATGAAACCTTTAACAATGTTTCCTGAAGGAAACCTTTAATAATGGTTCCTGAATGCAACCTTTAAAAATGTTTCCCGAAATGAGCCTTTAACAATGTTCCACTCACGGTAACCTTTAACGATGTTTCCCAAAGGAAACCCGTAACAATTTTTCCCGAAGGAAATCTTGAACAATGTTCCACTCACGGGAACCTTTATGATGTTTCCCGAAAGAAACCTTTAAGCATGACAACTACTATTTATGAGAAATCCATCCCGACAGTTGTTACTATAATGCCCTCTTTTTCCTTTCCCAGGAAAAAGCCTTTTTTTCATTTCATAAACACATATATAGGTTCCGACAGACGTGTCGCGTCCACGTGTCTCCCCGAAACTTTGTCACTTGTCCCCTTTCCTAAACATATCGACGAGTTGCGTCAACCATAAAACACATTGCATCCTTTCGTTGACTTTCCATTGGCGTTAACCAAACTAAAAGTAGGTTGCTATTTTTCAAAATAGCAATAGACTTTAATGTTTATAAGAAAATTGGCTCTACATGGCGAATAGAGTATAGCCAAATAATTAAATTTTCAGGTCATTACAATTCATTTCCCCTTAAAGGATTCCTTTCTTGGAATCTTTTACAATTCACGATCACTATTAGGAAGTAACCACTTAACTTTTTACACACCTCATAGTTTAAGCTTAGGTACGATCATTTCAAACCTAATTCGCTTAAACTATAACTCTAATACCACTTGTAAAACCTGTACCTTTTAACAACCATTATTTCGCTATGGGTTGTATAAATATCATGACCTGTAATCATGATAAAGTGTTACAAAAGCTTCATAAAGTTTATCAGAGTTTACAACTCTTTGGTTACCTCGATGCATTCCAAAGACTTTACCAAGTCTTCCATAACCATCACTGTTCTTTTCAACTTTCAAGTTTTCAATATCATGAAACCATATTCAACATTTAAGACTTCAACAAGTCTTAAACGCTATACCTGGGCATCTGAGTCGTATTAGCTTTAGGGAAACAAATCATTTCCCTAAAGCTAATACGTTTTCCCTAAAGCTAACGACTTTGTCTCCTGCCACACCTGTACTTTTTATTACGTTGGCCAAGTATCATGTTCGGTAGATTGAAAGTTCAAAAACGAATCGTATTAGCTTTAGGGGAATGTAATAAAAAAATTGAATCGGTTGCTGTTGCAAGAGACGGAGTCGACGTGTCTGTTATTGTTGAAGATGAAACTGTATCTAGATGTATGGAGCCATGGTGGGCTCATGTAGAGTTAGGTCACCATAAAACTATACTTATTTGAGATTAAATTGCAAAAACATTTTGTTTGATAATTTTTTTCTTAAACTTATATCCAATTTGTTGAATACCTTTGTGAAACACTTGGTCAAAAACTCCGATGAAGCAATTGACTATGTTGACTTTAATCAAATCATACCCTTATAACATCTTCAATGCATAAGTCTCTGTAAAGACTTCTTGTTGGTGAATTTATATCATCAATATTATTTAAGTGTAATAGGATTAAATTTGTTGACCAAAACTGATCTTGTTAAATATTGAACAAGTTAGGATAGTGTAGGAGTGCATACTTGTTCAAGGTTTTCAAGATTCAAAGTACACTGTTATTTAGGGGCGAAGCCCCTAAACGAACTGGGGTCCGGGGGCAGCGCCCCTGGGAGCGGGGTCCCAGGGGCGGAAGCCTCTGGCGGGGTCCAAGGGGCAGAGCCCCTGGCTGGGGTCGAGCTGACCCTTTTTCCCTGAGATCCGTTAATTGACAGGTTTGGTAGTTTTTTATGACAGTTTGTAATTGTCTAGTGACAGTTTTCAGACAAGAATCATATAGCCGTTTTGGTCATTTTTCTGGTACATATTTTGACGAACATTTCACATACATTCTCTGATTTCATATCTCTGAATTTCATCCAACTGAGTGTTCGATCTGTACCATCAAAATATTTCAATTTGATAGTGATTCACGACTTTCAGAGAATCCAAACAATTTGTTCATCCCCTTTTTCTAACACTTATAATATTTGTCGATCACAAATTCCTCTAACAAATTGATAAAAAAGCTTTTAACCAAATGCATAAATGCATATCAATTTGTATAAAGCTTTCTTATTTCTTTAGAATGAGTCGAATGACTTATAGAATGAAAAACCTCTGCTTAAAAAACTTTTTGCTAAGAGGGCCATAACTCTTTAAATGACCTATTCAAATGATAAAACACTTTTCAATAAACTTGTACGGTAGACCGTAGATGCTTTTAGAATTCAACAAACGGTTTACACAAAATACACTTTCATTTATAGCCCTCCTAGTTGTGTATGTATTTCAAAATTTACCTTTTATTTTTAAAAAATTTACGACATACATCTATTATTTTAGTGCATTAATATTATACTATAGAATAATATTTTGTATGTATTGGTGGTGTAGTAAGTCTAAATACGTAATATATCTCTTTTATTTTATATTGTGGTAAATATGTATCAAACCTTTTTTTGTGTGTCTATATATATTTTACACTAGGTGTAAAACCCGTGTATTACACAGGTTGATTAAAAAAAATAAAATATTAAAATATAAATAATAAGTATTTTTTAAAATAAAATTTTGAAATAAGGAATGAAAAAACATATTAATTGTAATTTAATATAATATTTATTACATTTGATATTTTACATATATAACTATATAAGTATTATATGACTTTTTAATTTTAAAAATTAGAAAAAACCATAAATTGACATGTGGATATTATTTATAAAAAAAATATCATAAAATGACAAGTGTCAAAACTCATTAGAGAATGACATGTGACAAAAAAGTTCTTTATTTATTAGGGATGATTTCCTTCTACTAACCAAAATATAGAAATCATGTTTTAACTTGTAGAAATAAATAATACATGACTGATGACTCTTATATATTCAACATAAAAACAATAATATTCAAAACGAAAATCAATATCGTATTTATTTTTAATAATATGATCATAATTTAAGTTTTTGTTGCGATTATTTATTCATTTTGATATAGAACAAGTGGAACAAAGTTCAATGTATTTTCAGGAATTCATTCTCCAATTAGAATGGATGACCCTTTTAACTTTTTTATATGGTTTAATTGTCCTTTATTTGACTACAAACATAACAATATAATTATAAATTACATTCGTTTTAATTACATTTAATATGTATAATATCATGAAAGAATTCAACTATAACAACTTTGAAAGCCAAAGCACAATTTATTAATTATACAAGCTTAACGCTTTCCTTCGGTAACAAATCAACCCGACATATATGTGAGCAAAAAATGGTAAAAGTGCGAAGATCCAATCCACCCAATGTTGAGGAGGTTAAGAAGGCAATGCATCATGATCTTGAAATAGAATCACCAAGGGACTTCCATACAGGATGAAAACAAAGCCATGGATGGTGGGCCTTTTTTCTGTATATATCGTATATATTTACTTATTATGATAAACACGTTCTATTTTGTTTGGTTTGCATTGGCTTATCTGTGGCTTGTGACTAATATCAATAAGATAAATATTATAAACTATTTGTCCTACCCAAAAGGTGGGTCATGAGTACATGACTCGCTCTTGATCTTTCGTATATGCAAAAGGCGTAAACCCTAGTTATCGAAAATAGATAACCATTGTTGTGTTGTTACCTAGGGTAGAATTGACTGTGGGAAATTGTAGCAATCGAATAAGAACTTTCCCCTTCATGATCACCAAGTATAGTTTGTGTAATGTTGTTGAGTTCCATGGTTTTTTCGTCTATGAAAGGGGGATTAGAAGGAAAGGGTAAATGTTCATCTTTTGCCAACATTTTAAGTACAGTTGACATTGTTGGCCTTAAAGATGGAGCTTCTTGGGTGCAAAGAAGTCCTACATGTACCACTTTTATCGCGTCTTTTTTGAAAATGATGTTCGGGTAAATATCCATCAACAGATTCGGGTCAAAGATTTGCTCCACTGTACCTTCCTGGAAGTGCTTCCATGCCTATTCATCGACAAATATAAATTTCGAAACTTATTATAATTGGAATTTTTTTACTGCTTTTAGACAAAAAAAAAAGAACTTCAAATATTATGTTTTAGGTGAAGGGTTTATACTTACAGCAGAGACTATGCTGTCGGTATATTCTGCTGTATTGCTTCGGTTGTTTTCTATACCAGTGACTATTTCCAGAAGTAAAACACCAAAGCTGTAAACATCTGCCTTTTCAGTTAATTGACCATGGGCTAGATACTCTGGAGCCATATATCCACTGATGAAAGTGAAATAAAAATTAAAAATTAAAAGATTATTTTAGTAATTTATTTATATTTAAAATAGCTTGAAATAGGCAATGTTTTAGTCTCATTTAGACGGCTAATTCGGTCTAGAAAAGAAAACAAACTTTATGTATGCTAACACTTTATATATACTTCCGGGAAAAAGAAACAACCCCTTAATATGGTAGGCTATGTATATAGATGTTTTTTTTCTTAAAACAGAAAGAACGACTTACAGTGTACCCGCAATAGCAGTACTGAGGTGAGTTTGATCATCTTGAAAAGATCTGGCCAACCCAAAATCAGCTATTTTAGCACGAAGGCGTAAGTCTAACAAGATGTTAGCAGCTTTGATATCTCTATGAATAATTCGGGTCTTGGTGTTCTCATGAAGGTATATTAGACCTTCTGTTGTACCAATAATAATCTCAAATCTCTTCTCCCAGTTTAGTGTCCTGCCCTTTATTTCATCTGAGGAACAATTCATAAATTTATAAATATATCTTGGAATCTTGGATTTATTTTTTTTAATTTACCAAAAATGAAGCGGTCGAGACTCATGTTGGGAAGATATTCATATACGAGAATGCTTTCAGGTCCTGAACAACTGCATCCTAAAAGCCTGACAAGGTTTTTGTGTTCAACACTGCTAATTATGTTAACTTCGTTGTAGAAATCTGCTACTCTAAATTTGTTGTTGACGTAGAGCCTCTTCACAGCTATTTCTCTTCCATCTGAAAGTACCCCCTGAGTGAAATTTTCACTGCCAATATTAGTTTTATAAACGGTCTATGATAAACTAAAACATGCGGTCCTTATTTGTTATAAAGGACAAGACAGTATCAGTCTGAGTACCAGTCCAATGTAGGGGTGGACTTAGGGTGGGTCACCGGTGGCACCGACAACCCCTAACTTTTCCGGTCGTAGTGGAAAATCTTTCGAAAATTTTTTAATTTTTAATTTTTTCTATTATCATGCAACCCCTAACTTTCCCGTGCAACCCCTACTGTGAAATCCTGCGTCCGCTGCTGGTCCAATGCATGCCAAAAAGCAATACCTTGTAAACGGTTCCAAATCCTCCCTGTCCAAGCTTGTTTGACTCATCCCAATTTGCTGTGGCTTTCTCAATTGTGGAGTATTTGAAGTTTAAGCTACTATCAGTAAGAATCTTTGCTAATTTCTCAGCATCATAAGAGCCTGCAAACATTAAGGAATGATTAGAGTTTGTTTTAACAAACTAATGAAACGAATGGTGTTGAATGAGTTGTACCTCTTCTCCTGTATTGTATATATCTACGTCTCCTAATATATAAAACAATTGTCAAAGCAACTACCAAAACCACCACAGAACTAACAATGGAAACAATAACCGCTACCATCTTCCCTGAAAATCCCATAAAAAAATAATCAAAAATGGAGAAACGCCTTTATGTTTTTAAATGGAAGATTCCATATTTCGATTATCATGAATTATTATGTGATTTTATTTTTATATCCCTGATTCTCTATTTTAATTAAAATAAAGATATAAAAGTCTATATCATCTTATTTTTAAACCTTATTTTTAAATCGACAAATCAAAAACTTTTGGTTTGACCAATGTATTCTTTTTGTATATAGTATCGTTGCTTTTTAATGGATACATAATTTTCCCAAAAGAATCTCTCAGTCAAACATTTCATTTAAAAAAAAAAAGTAAAAAAATACACTACATGATTTTTTGAAAAAAATATGATCAGTTTCGAATTACTAAGAATAATTTCATGAAGTAAATTTCGTATTATTTATATTTTTTATATGTATAATTTTGTGGAAACCATAAAGATAATCAACAAATAGTATATTTCCCAGTGGGTCGTTATTAAATTGGTAGCTATTTTTATAAAAATTAATTTTAATCAAACAAATATGGTTAGACTTATCCAAAAAAAAGTTGATTTGTTACCTCTATTGTTAGAGCTCTGTATCACCTCTACGGGATTTAAAAAATCCCTATCAGAATACCTCATAAAACACCCCGTATTCAACGCCCTTCCCTCCGACGAGGGCAAACATTTCGAAATCGCCGCCGACGCATTCTCCAAACACTTCCTACAATCCGCCGGACTCAAAGTCCTCCAACATTCCGCCATCACAAACACCGACTCATTACCACCACCACCGCCACGCGCCACCACCACCTCCGCCCTCCCAAAATACTCATCGCTACTCAACGCCTCCGACACAACATCCACCACCGCCTGGTGAGTCAAATCTCGAAACCCTAAACTCTCCCTCGTTACATTCCCACAAACAATCGTATCATTAGATCCTTTATACTCTTGAAAAAAGCTATAATTCTGAAGCCGCATATAACAACCATCGATGTAAATCCGACCACCGCTATGGGGATAACAACCGGGAAGTACAGTACGGAGTTGGGCGTAACATAACATACAATCTTGTGAAGAGAGATCGTTGAAGCATTGAGCGAGGGCGTAATTTTTGTTGGGTCCTGTTCCGATTTCTATTGTTGCGTTGTTTGATGTTCGTAATCGGACGTTGATAATTTCCATTGCTTGTACGAAATTTGGGACGAATATGGTTTGATTGTTTTCGAATCCTTCATCGCAGTACATTTTGATTACTTGTGTTCTAGCATCCCCGTTTGATGTTGATATTAGTAGGGGGATTGTGATTAAAGCGATGAGGAGTGTTGATTTCTTCATCTTCTACTTATCTGAAGTACAAAAAAGTTTGTTTAGTAATGGATTTGAAAAGTAAACTATGTTTGTTATTTTGGTTAAGAAAAAAATGGGTTGAGTTAAAAAATACATAATTGTTCAAGATAAACATTAAACAATAGTTGGCTTCATTTTTGTATGTAGCAAATCAAGTCGAGAATAAAAAATAAACAGAGTCTAATTTGGTGGTTATGGACTTATGGTGGCTTTAATGCAGAATTCCAACTTATCCATTTTATGGGTCAATAAAGTTTGAGCATTTTCTAGTCACCTTCAAATTTTATTTCTCTTTTAGTTTTCCGACTAAATTTATTTTGGTTTAAATCCATCGATTTATTTTTCTACAAACCGTATACTATAACGAATATAGTCGTATAACTTTTGCTATTGATATGGTAAAAAATATACTTAGTACAATTATTTTGCTACCAACAAGTTAGGTTGGTATAAAGTTATAATGATAAATACCAATTTCTTTCTACTTTTCATTTATAATAGTAAACCAACAAGAAGGAATGATAAAAGTTACATAGGGTTGTATTTGTTGGTAGGTAAATATATAAGGTCGTTACCACTAACTAAATCCAATGTATATGGTTGAGCAAAAACGTATTATATATGACCAAATTTATACTTTAAAATGTACATAAAAATAAGCATTAAAACAATAAAACGTATGAAAACTGAAATTTACATCAACGTATACATAAAAATAAGTAAGTTTTTTTTTTAATTAACGAACGGAAATTTGAATATATGACCAAATTCATATGTAAAAATATACATAAAAATAAGCATTGAAACATAAAAAAATGGAATTTATACCAATACACATAAGAATAAGTATAAAATATTTTTTTAAGTTAACGAACGGAAGTTCAAATAATAAAAAACGTTTTATGCGTGACCCGACTCATACGTAGGAAGCGTATGTAGCAATAAACATGAAAACATAAAAAAATTCACATCGAAATGTAGATTACGGAGGATAAACACGAAAGTTTAGAAAATAGATGGGTGAAAACGATACTTTACAAAGTTCAAAGTAGAAAGAGTTAAAGTGACAATTTAAAAAGTAAAGGGGAACACGCCATTTAACAAAATATTTTAAAAAATAATGGGTGGAATGTGTCATTTCTAAAAGTTAAGGGGTGCAAACTGTCGGTAGAGAGGTTGGTTTTTAATATAAATATAATGTGGTAATAAATTTTGTACCTTACCATACCATTATTTCTCAATTGGTATGGTACTATCGATCAAACATTTTGACTTTCAAACATCTTGACTACCAAATTTATTATCTATTGGTTTCCTATAGATTATATATTTCACAGCCCTAATATTACTATTTCTCTAAATATAAAGTAACATTAACGGACTCTAAGTTTTTTCAATTGTAGTATTTTATATTTTGAGAAGTGATTCGTACACAACATGTTTTTTCTATATATATATATATATATATATATATATATATATATATATATATCAATTTATGTTTTATAAAATCATACATTACAACATTTTAAAACATAAATTGTTGTGTATGTATAAAAGTTATTGTGTACGCATAAATTATTGTGTATGTATAAAAACTATTGTGTACGAGTTAGCTCCTTTATATATATATATATATATATATATATATATCTATATATATATATATAGATATATATATATTAGTTTATTTTGATTATTAGTTATAATTTAAATGCATTAACTAATATTTGTAATATTATATAATATATTAAACATATTTAGTTAATCAAAATTATAAAGTTTAATATTATCTATAGAATATTTAAGAAAAATAAAATACAAAAACATAGTTTATAAAAACTTATAATCGAGATATATTTTACCGTTAATATAATTTTTAAAATATACCTATAATTTGTTTAGTTATAATTTTGTGATAATATAATTTATAAATTTTTTTTAATAAAAACACACACATACTTTTTAAAATTCTTGTTAATTTATTTTAAACAAAAAAACTCGTGATGTAAAAGTTAGTTCAAATACTTAAAAATATTTAGTTTTTATATAATTTTACATATTTCAAAATTTTTTAGCCATGTTTGTCAAACACCTCTATACAAATAAACATTATATATTCCAACTTCCAACTATTTTTGCTTAACATACCCTAAACATAATTCTAATTTTATATTATGTATTTTCTAAATTACATAATGAAATGAAAAATAAAATTAGCAGTTACGCACTTCTATGTCTACGATAAAATCTATTATATTTCAATCAAAATAATTAGTAGAAAATGTTGGATATTAAGACAAATATAAAACCATGTTTGATGAATTCACCGGAAAACTGGATGATAGGTAAAAAAAACATTTTAACTGCAAACTTTTAACCAATGTTTTAAAAACCGGTTTTTTAGTTGAACCGGTATGGTGACCGGTTTCCGGTTCGACCGCTGAGTAACCCGTTTTGTATAATTTTCATCTTTTTTTCGTATTTTCATACACATATCTACATACACAAATCAAGAATATGATGTTCATAAGTTCAAACATTAAAATACACATGAAAACAAATTGTAGATCATTCTAAAAACATTAACATAACTCATAATCATAAGTTTTACATCAATCCACGTGCATTCAAAAAGAAAACAAAGTCCTAGATGAATATAAATGCATAAAAAAACTTAATAACATTTATCATATGCTTTTATTCAGAAAAATTTTAATAAATGTGAAAAAACTACTAAAGTTTATTATGCAAAAGGTTTCAATTCCATGTGTTTTTATTCAATTTAACCGGTTCAACCGGTTTAATTAAACCGGTTCAACCGGATTTTTGTAAAAACCGGCCGGTTTGATACGGTTCATAAATAAACATAAAACCGGTGATAGTTGAACCGCTCCCTTCCCCGATTCCCGGTCCAACCGGTTCGACCGACCGGTTCAAACCGGTTTTTAAAACATTGCTTTTAACTGATAAATAAAATAACCTTTGATTAAACCATACCATTTTTTATGATGTTAAAATTGTGATCAATTATTTTTATACATGAAGTATTTTTTTTTTTTTTTTTAAGGTGCCTAACTTTGTCACAAACCGGAGAACCAAAAATCCTAATGCAAGAAGAATAAGACAAAATTAAAAGCCCAAGATACCGTGGCCAAACTTGTTGGTTTTTGAAAATAAAGGAAGAGTCTATAAAGTTAAAAGAAGAAGACATTCGTAGGATTCCCTATTCCCTAAATAGGAACTTTTAGGCTTGTTGACTTCCACAATTATCAATGATTTAAAAGGCTTCATTGAAAGGAGACTATTCGATCCCTATTTAATAACTTTAAAACCGAAATAAAGGGATCAAACTTTATAGAATTTACATGCAATTTGGTAACATTTATTCTATCTAAAAGAAATTAAAAACCTTACAGGTTTGAGGTAATTTAAAAATTGTTCGATAGTTGTAATTGAGTAAAATTAAATATTGTATCAGGTCTGATAAAAAACAAATTAGAGGCTATACGACGAAATTAGAGGTTTCAAATATGGTATCAGAATCAGCTTTTTATGAGACCTATTAAAAGATATATGAATTTTTTTTAGTCTTGTTAATTTATCTAATAAAACCAATACGTATAAATTAAATATCATTTTATATTTTTTTCATACTCATCTTTCTATCATGTCAAATATTGATATGTGTGACAATTAATAAAATTAATAATAGTATTTTAATATACTTGTCACCATCTACTAGAATAAATGAAGATAATTTTGTCACATGTCAATTTCTAATGAGTTTTGATACTTGTGATTTTTTGATATTTTTTAAGTAAATAATACCTACATGTCAATTTATTGTTTTTTCCAAGTTTTAAATAAAAAGCTACATAATATTTATACTTATATATGAAAAGTATCAAATGTAATAAATATTATACTAAATTGCAATTAATGTGTTCCTTCATTCATTCATTCATTATTTCAAAATTTTATTTTAAAAAATACTTATTATTTACATTTTAATATTTTGTTTTCTTTAATCAATCTATGTAATACACGGGTTTTACACCTAGTGTAATATAAATAAAAGGATAGATAGAATATATATATATATATATATATATATATATATATATATATATATATATATATATATATATATATATATATATAAAAGATTATTTAATTTCTCATAATATATCGGTCACTAAAAATTATCATCCAACTTATAATTTTCCTTTGCCAAATAGTATTAATGCATGTGGTACCATGTTCTATGAATTAATTGAGCAACACGAATTCAAAAAGCATTATTCATTACAACTTCCACTGTTCAACAACTCTACAGATTTTGTAAAGGCGCTGGGCCCATTGTGGCGTATATGTGGTGTGTTGAATGCGTATACAATTAGCAATATATCTAAAAAATATAATGGAAAATATATATATTCCCAGTAAGTAAAGTACTAAAACTGAAATTTTACTACGAGCAAAATTCTGCAACAACCTAACAGATACTTATTTTGTAAATGAAGCATCAAATTGGTTGCTATAAACTTATATCGATGTTACAGCCTCGTTATTTCACAGATTTACCATGAATAGTTGACATAAAACTCCTCAGTTTCTAAAGATTTAATCAACGAAATAATATACGACGAGGATCAAAACAATTAATCCTCTATCGTTCCCGGAATCAGATTGGGATTCATTCGTTTTGACTACATTTGTATAATGAAATCGAAAGAGTAATTTAATGAAATGAGATGAAGAAATGCTGAAAAAAAGGAGCATCAAAATTATATGCGCTAAAACTACGTGAAGCACTTGAAGATATTTAGTAAACAGTAGAATTTTATAGTTCTAATCAAAGTAATCGCTGAAATTCCTCTGTTTCTTAAGCTTCTAAAGCTAGTAATAATTTAGCAGAAAGTAAGTAAAATCCGTTGTTGTCGCTAACGAAAAACAATTTTGCTATTATCAATCGCACAGAGTTTACGATGATCATCAATCAGAACACTAAAATCTTACTAAAACTCGATAAATATCACATCTAATCCTGATAAAAGAGTAAAAACGAAAAAGAAATTCAGATCCGAATCGTACCTTTTTCACTACACTTGATTCATGGAGTTTAATGGAGGTTGATCGATTTTTCGTTTAGTATTTATAAGTCCTGGTCGTCTGGATTAATATAGAACGTTGAAGCCACCTTCTGTAGACAGAATTTGAGTGTAGACTGTCCAAGGAGGAGAAGAAAAAAGGAAGAATATTTGACCGAAGCTAATAATGTTGATATTAATTCGTTTTGCTCATTTTCCTACCTTTTTTGTATTTATCATACAACAGTTTTAACTCAGTTGTTTTGAAATTATTTCAAGTGACATTATATTTACAATGGATAGATAAAATTTCTAATGTTAGTTAAAAATAAGATAAAATATTTTAAATGTTGCCTATAATATATTAGGTTTTCAAATTATAGCTTGTCAACCGAGTTAAAAGTTCAGCTTAAATGAATATGTTTGACAAAATTAACTAGGGATGAGCATCGGTTCTGACCCTGAGTGGGAACTAAATGCCCAAGAACCAAAATGCATAGAAATATAGGATTGAGAGCCAGACCGGTTAAGTGGGTATCAGTTCTAATGGCGGCACCGGTTTTCGGTTCCAGAACTAGGTTAAGCTAACAAAATGTTTTTTTACAAAACTGGTTTTTGGTTACAAAACCGTGTTTAGCCCACGAAATGTTTGTGTGTGTGTGTTTTCAAAACCGATTTTCAGTTCTAAAAGAGGGAACATAATTTCCGAAAACTGAAAAATTGGATATCTTGAAATGAGGAGCCGTCCCGATAGTATGTAACTCCAGTCCGGAGCTAGTTCCGGTTCTACTAGGCCAAATGTTCAATCCTAAAGTTAACTATTATATAAGTTGGAAGCGTAGTTAGTAGTTAAAACTAAAAACTATAACTTTTAATTGAAAGATTTTATAAACTTTTGAACAATATGAAATAACAAAACATAAAAACTAAAATATTAAAGCTTTCGAAAACTATTTGAATTGTTCTTTGATTATTAACTTTTTTTTCTGAAAAATTTGTTATGAAAAAATGAACATTAGTGATAAATACCATTATTTTAAGAAGTTCTAAAAATATTACAAAAATAAAATGGCACCTCTAAAAGTAGGGATGAGCAAAAACCGAACCGAAAACCGAAAACCGACATAACCGAAACCGAAAAACCGAAACCCAAGCGATAACCGACGGTTTAGGTTTGAATTTTACAAAAACCGAAAATAACGGTTTGGTTCGGTTTTGACGTACAACACCGCTCATAAAAACCGAACCGACCCACATATATATTATTTATTGTGTTTTAAACTTTTAGTTTTAGACTTTAGACTTTATCTTTTCAATACTTCATGTTTATTTTCAACAAACTGTTAATTGTGTTAAACTTTGATCTTATGAACACTTTTATGCTTTTAGAATACTAGAATCTGTACTCTCTAAAAAAAACTCTTTTCAGCCTCGTTTAAACTTTCTTTAACATCTTCAACCAAGTTACTTATAATTAGAAAGTTGAAAAAAAAATCTTAAAACTTTTTAGGAAACAATATAAACCAAACACGTTTAAAAAAAATTCTTATAATTCTGTTTTTTTTCTAGAAAACAATGTTTTTGTCATAAACAAATGTAATTTTCACTACTTTTAAAAATATTACTTATGATTTTGGAAAATGAGTTATTCATAAAGAATTGACAAAACTGCACAAATGGTCCTTATAGTTAGCTCAAAATTTGTCATTTTGGTTCAAAAAAGTTTGGACTAACACCAAAGGTCCAAAATTTTCATTTTTTTGCGAGTTCGGTCCAATTTGCTTTGAATTTTTTTCAAATGATAGATTTGCCCTTATTAATTTCTTTTTTTTATTTCTTTTAGAATTTTATTGTATTTTCTTATTTAAAATCAAATAAAAAAATACAACCTCATCTTACCCCACCCACATACCTCCAGAAACACTAACACCCTCTCTCTCTCTCTCTCTCTCTCTCTCTCTATTGTTGTCGGACCAACACCTTCTACTGTTCACCGCCGCCGGACCACCACCACTTAACGAACTACTATCGTCTGTCGGACCACTGTTGTGTGTCGGCCTATCCTAGTCGTTGTAGAATCTTTTTTCGCTAGATCACCCAAAACCACCTCCGACGACGTAAATCTGAATATCCGACGATGTAGATCTGAAGCACTGCCACCTATCGGTCTCTTCCTGAAACGTCATCATCGCCAGGAAACCCTAGATCTCTAGAGAAACCCTGCCAAATATTGAAACCCTTCTCACCGGTCTCTTATAGAATGTCATCGCCGTTAGAAAACCCTACCAAATGTTGAAACCCATTTGCAAATTTGTCGATCTATCTCGATATGACGACGATGCTAGGTGATAACGATGCTACTAGAGAATATGGATGGTGGCGACGACTCGATCTGCAAACCCTGGCGACTTAGATCTGAGAAAGGGGGGGTATAGATCTGAAAAGGGGGAAACTCGATGCTAGTGTGGCGAGCTACGCTGCTGCGGAAGACAATCTGCAAATGACCGCCACTTTTTCGTCTTCTTCTTTAGAGATCTGAGGTGGTTTCAGGTGGCGTTCCAAATGGTGGTTCGGTGACTGCTCTATTATTCCAATGGTTGTCGGAGAAGGAGCAAGACAGATTCGTCAGCGCCGTCGGAGGATCAAGACGAAGTCGATGGTGTTCAAAATCTCCGACGGTGGTAACTCCAGTGGTGTTGACAGCTGGAGGGGTGTTTTAGAGACTGGTGGTCAGCGATGAGTTTTGTAACGGCGGTGCCATGTCCGATGGTGGTGGTTGGCGATGGTGGTGGTGGCAGACACCGGTAACCGACGGTGGTGGTGGTGGCAGATAATGGTGGCAACAAGTGTTTGTTCTTAAATGTATGTCAAAGTGTTGTTGAGTATTTATGAGAGAGAGAGAGGGTGGGTAGTTTTTTTATTTTGGTTTAAAAAAATTATAAAAATAAGAACAAATTACTGAAATCGTCCCTATGGTTTGGGTAAAATTGCACGTTGGGACCTAACTTTTTTTTTGCACTCGGACAGTCCCTAACATATCATTTTGTTGTGTCTACAGTACCTTGTAGAGATAAAAAGACTATATTACCCTTGACATTTTCTTTTTCAGTTTTTCTATATTTATAAATTATTTATTAATTAAAGAAAAAAAATTATAAGTAATTTATAAATAAGTGGGTCCAACTTACCATTTTCCCCTTCCCCTCCACCTTCCCCTCCACCATCTACCTCCGGCAACCTCCGGTAACCTTGGTTTATAAAATGAAAACCTGCAACTATCCCCACTACTCTTTATAAAATCAAAACATTCAATCAATACTAAGCCAAACCACAAATCAAAATCAAATCCTACAAAAAATGATCAATGATCAATCAACTACAAATTTGGAACATCAACTGAGGGGAGGCAATGGAGGGGAGGAGGTCGTTTTCTTGTTGTGATTCCCGTTGAGATTGATGTGATTCCGACCATCCAACCTCCAAACGACGACCATCTTCTTCTACCTTACACCGCCGCTTCCTCACCATCCACAGTTGGCTTGAGCTCCCACTACCCCACCCCAACCCACGAATAAATACCCAATAAAACCCTTTTCAATGGTTTTCTTCTGCTCGATTATCTCATTCCCCTCCCAAATCGGTAAAAGAACAGAACACTTACGCTGTATCTCTCGATTGTCTTCTTTCTCGACTGTCTGTTGATGAACCATGAGAAACATACTTTCACATTCTTCTTCTGGTTCGAATTTTGGGTTTCCGTGATATCGGGGTTGTCATCTGTCTCCACCCATATACGTTGAATAAATTCTTCTTTAATCTGCATTCCATTGTTGCCTTTTGGTGTTGATTTGGATTTCAGTTGGTTTTTTTGCAGGTTTCGTTTCTTGATTTGGTTTTGATTTTGATTTTAGTTAATTTTGATTTGATTTCAGTAGGTGTAGAATGAGGTAGAAAGAAATGACGGGGCGGAGGGTGAATCTAGGGCGAGGAAGATTTTTGATGGTGAGGGGTTCAATGTTCGCCGACGGTATAGGAGAAGGAAGGCCCTCGGAGAACGTGGCAGTCGGAGAAGATGAACCCACGGTGGCTGATTTGGGGTACAAATCTGGAACATCAACTGAGGGAGGCAATGGAGGGGAGAAGATTTTTGTTAAACTTTTTTCTTAAAAAGATAATATTATTAGAATTTAAAATCAATAATAGAAAATTAGAAAAACAAATAAAAAATAAAAGAAAGAGTATTTTAGTCATTTCAGGTGTAGTAGGGACTGAACGTGCAACAAATATAAACAATAGGGATGGTCTGAGTGCAAAAAAAAGTTAGGGACCAAACACACAATTTTACCCAAACCACAGGGACGATTTCAGTAATTTGTTCTAAAAATAAAATAGAAATGGCAAATTTTCTTTTTATTTTTTTTTTAATCGGAAAACTATTTAATTTAATAAAAAAATGAAAATGAAAAAAGTAAGGGTAAAATCCCCATTATAAAAAAGTTCAAAGCAAATTGGACCAAACTCACAACAAAATAAAAAGTTTGGATCTCTGATGCTAGTCCAAATTTTTTCGGATAAAAGTGACAATTTTTGAGGTAATCGTAGCTTTTGTACAGTATTATCTAATGAATTCGAGTCGCCAACATTTCAACGCCGAATTAAGAAATATTAAACCAAAAGTTTTTACAATTTTTTTTTTTATATTTTTTTATAATGTTTTCTTCTTTCTATAACTTTTGACTTTTTTGTACAAGTATTTTCAAATCTTTTTTACAAAAAAATTACAACTTGTGTGCAATGTTTTTATATTTGTTTTATAACATTTTTTACAATATAATTTTATATTTTTTACAACACTTTTTTTTTTCTATACAACTTTGAACTTTTTTGGTTATGTTTTTTCAACTCTTTATAAAAATAATTTACATCTACTTTTACGTTTTTTACAATGTTTTTAAACATTTTTATATTGTTCTAAAACAATCTTTAGAACTAACACAAAAAATAGATCACATAAAAAGTATATAAAAAATATATTGAAACTAACAAAACTAAACAACACACAAAAAAATCAAAACGCATAGAATCAACGAACAAAAAAGGATCAAAACCATAGAACCAAACGTTGAATCTCCTCGAGACGACACTTCATCGGACGTCGCCAAAGTTCAGAAAGTTATGTTTGTTGTGATTCGACTGTCAAGTTTGTAGCTTTGTTGTGATTCGACCGTCAAGTTTGTAGCTAGTAACCACAAGTGGGGGTGTAAGCTCTGTATAGATCTATACATACATCACCCGTTCACTTAAGATTTAACGATTATAGGTCGAGGTTAGCTAATAATTATTTAGCTAAATGATGAACAATGTCTCATTTAACAACTGTTTTCGTGTAACCATATCGTATACTTTGCTTTCCGTTGTTATCTTCAGTCGTACTTAATATATATATATATATATATATATATATATATATATATATATATATATATATATATTATATATATATATATATATATGTGTGTGTGTGTGTGTGTGTGTATTTTGTTATATATTAAGTTAGTATAGTTTATTCCAATATGATATTCAGACATAGTAACGACTAAGTACAATGTTATTCCAAAAGTTGATCAGGGTAACGACTAAGTATAATGATTTCCTATTGAGTTGGCTACCGTACTGACTAGGTACGATGTTATCTCTAAAAGTTAACCAGAGTAATGACTATGTATAATTTTTTCCTAATGAGTTGGTCAGCGTAACGACTAGGCATAATATTATCTTTAAAGGTTTGGCAGGATATCTACCAGACATAATATGATCCTAACGTTTTATAGGCATAATTATATCACTAATATTGTATATAGGCATAATTATATCACTAATATTATACAATTACAAATAATTATAAAATTAGCAGTGTTGTATTATCATATGTGCCCCCCCCCCCCCTCCGAAAACATTTGAAAATAAAAAAAAAATAGGGGCGTGAACTCACCCTTGAAGCGAAGGTCTTCTGCGTACAAGTTCTACTTTCGACGACCTTTATACCCACGTGAAGGTCTTAACGAGTACTATAACTTTCCTTCTGGTTATTTTGACTAATTCTAACTTTTATTTTTATCCTATGTTTTTATACCCTGAATGATTTTGCAAAAATCATAATTCTCTCATACGGGCTCCGTTTTTGACATTTTTTGTTTCAAAATTCTTATATTGAGGAGTACTGCAATCTTCGTTTTTGTGACTTTGGCTAAAAGTCGAACGTTCTCTTCGTAGCTTTTTATGTTGTAACTTTTTAGGGAAAATGACATATACGCCCTATAAACTTTTTAGGGTTAACTCTTTTAGTCACTTAACTTTTTAAGTGGCTTTACGAGGGAACAAACTCATGGTCTACCTGTCTTTTTAGTCCTCTTGACTTGCTATGACCGGTTTAAGTGCCACATACCCAAAACTTGGGCCCCTCCCTTCTTACTCCTGCCGAGCAACAACACCACAAACACCCATGTGTGAGCTGTTTCTACCCTCAAATACCAGATCGGCCATGACGATGTCCAAATCGAAGTTGAAGGCCACCGGAAATCGACCTCCCCACCTCCTTCTGTCGGTCTTCTGTCGATTGAATCGGTTTTATGCCCTAAAATTGTTTTCGATTGTTACAGTTGAATTAATTTTTGTGTTTCCTATTGAAATTTTTTTGATAACCAAAATTTCTGGATCGATGATGCATTTTGTTCTTCCTGTGATTGCTTTTCAAAAATCAAGTTCATATGTTTTTTTTATAACGGAAGTAGACTTGTTTCAATTTATCGATTTTTGGGTTGTATGGTTTGAGTTCGGAATTCATATATCTCGATGGTTAATTGAAGAAAATAATTATGGGTTCTTTTAACGGTTCTTGAACGGTGTTGTAATAATTCAGAATTGGGGACAAAATAGCCCCAGGGGCATCTTAGGAAAGTTACCTTTTTATGTTTTTTTTTTGTGTTTATTTAGGATTCTGTTAGTATAAATAGGGATAATTGTCACACCCCCAAACCTGAACGACGGAAACATTCGGGGGCGAAGGACGTCATGTACAATATCAACAATTGAATAATAAAGAAAGTACACACCACCATAATATATATTTGAAAAGTTTCCATGATTGTTGTATTACATGTTTCAAAAGTCAAATACAATATGATGTTCCAAAAGATGTTGCTAACGCCAGAGCATTAGTCCCCAAAAGTAGTTGCTAACATGGTGTTTAGCGATTCCCTGAGAATACAAGTTATTTCAAAGAAAAAGTGTCAACAATTAAGTTGGTGAGTTCATAAGTAGTTATTTGTGTAAATGTACGCCATTCGAAAGTTCACGTTTATTTTCTAGAAAATCCGATATTTTCTTATAAAATGAGTGATGAATCGTTGTTTGTATGAAAGGAATGTAATGAACCAGGAAAATCCTATATTTTCCTAAAAGTGAGAAGCAGTCTTAAATGCCCAAGACTGTAACTTATAAGTAAATATGTCATACTTAAAATGATGATGTATAGTTTTATTAGTGAACAAAACTATAGGAAGCTTGTATTTTCATGTAAAAATAACTGTAATATTACTTTTCCCGTAAAAAAATAATACCATAATAATTGTCTATCCTGTGAGTTTTCATAACCGTACTATGATGGATTTGCCTGTAGCGACGTTCTTCAGGCGTCGAAATGTTATGACACTTGTCACCCTTAACCTGCCGGTCCGACTGTAGCTAACAGCCAGGGTGCGGGATCATCAGTCCCGTATAGATTTATACACACTTATCACGTTCTCCGGACGGAGACTCTCGTTATAAAACAGGGCTTTCTTGTATACCTTGATAGGTACGATGAAGACGAATGACTCACATATTCTCAATTAAGTCACGTATTTTTGAAATGAATGTGTTTATGTCCGAAATGATTACTCTTTTTACTATGTTGATAAAGGCGTAACAATGATTTGTATTTTCTTATATATAAGTAATGTTATAGTAGAAATGGTTACCCTTGTCAAGATGTGTTATGCAAACATATAAATAAAGCATGTTATTATTTATAAACACATTTCATCCCGAGAGGGTAAAGTGGTGTCGTAAGATGTTTTGCATGCCAACATTTTCGTATGATAGTTATAACAACAGTATGAAAAATATAGCAAAAGATTGATGTTTTCACACGAGTTTAACTGTGTGTTTACTTGTATTCCCCCCTTAAAAGTGTTTAAAAGCATTTAAAAGCATTTGAAAGTGTAGTGATAGGGGTATGAACTCACTTGGTAAGAGTGACGGGTTGATGAAGACGATGTTTAACTCGGGCAACACTTCGACTGGAAAGAAGCAAGTTTCTCGGAAACTTCGGGACTTCGGGCTTCCGTCAGGGCTTGGACACGTAACCGGGGCGTCGGGGTAGTCTCGGGATGCTTAACACAGAGTAAAAGTAGGAGAGGGGATAGAAATGAGCAGCCAAAACCGAAGCCCTCGGTTTATATTTATAGGGTGGATTTTTGGGATTCACGTCGTGAACTTGGGGTGGTTCACGTCGTGAGTTTTGATCTTATCCCTTCCGTAGACTCGACGTCTGATAGCCCGTCTCTGGCACACATCAGTCACTAGCTCACGTCGTGAGTTTTCTGATAGTGTGGGGTTTCGTGTCCCGAACTTCAGAAATTCATATCTCTCGCATACGAGTTCCGATTTTGACCTTTTT